AAATTTGGTGTTTACGAAGCAACCCTAAGACATGCCATTAAGAATAATGGTCCTTTAAATCGCCCGGGTCTTGCTAATATTTTAACTGATTATAAAAAAGAACAATTAGTTAGTTATTGCTTAAATATGCAAAGACTTGGCTTTGGACTAACTAGAACGGGTGTAAATCATTGCGTAATAGAGATTGTTAAAAAAAGTAAAAAGCCACATCCTTTTAATAAGAATAGACTGGGCAAGTCATAGTGGGAGTGTTTCATAAAGGACCATCTTGGGCTTTCATTTCATGTTTCTCAGGCTTTGAATGAGGCAAGAGTACAAAGAGCAAACTCTATTATAGTAAATAACCATTTTAAAAAGCTTAAGAAAATTATTAAAAAATATTCTCTTACTGCTGATCGAATCTGGAACATGGATGAAACAGGTTTTGTTTTTAATCCTGAACTTTGTAGTTATTACAAAAAAGGGTGCACGACAAGTAAGTAAATTTGGTTATTAGTATTTAATAATAATAAAGTATAAATATTTTAAATAATATTGAAATTTGTCAAACATGTTTTTTACCACCCTAATAATAGGTCTATCAAGTTTCTCATGAAAATTCTAATAAGCATATTTGTGTGTCTTACCATCTCTGCTACTGGAACATACATTCCCGCTCATTATTTACAAAAGAAAGCATATAATTCTAGGCCTCTTAGATGGCGCCCTCCCTAGTTCTGTTATGGGATTTACGGAAACTGGGTATATGCGAGAATCCCTTTTTCAAAAGTATATTGAGCATTTTATTTGCTCAATTTTGCTTGCTCGTTTTGTTCTTTTGATTCTTGATGGACATAAGAGTCATGTTAGCTACATCAATGTTAACATTTGTCATAACAACAATATCCTTCTATACATGCTCCTACCCCACACCACCTATATACTTCAACCTGCTGAACTTCTCCTTGTATAGCTTAAAGATGCATATACTAAAGGCTGTAAACAACTTCGTGTTAGTAATAACGGAGAGTTTATAACTAAATACACATTTGCCAAGGTTTCAGATCTGGCATATATTAAAACTTACACACTTTCGGCAATTTGTAATGCCTTTAAAGCAACTGGGATATGGCCCTTTAATCCTAGTACAATTAGCCTTGACTGTCTTGATCCTTCATTAGTTACTGAAATTCCTTCAACACAATCACTTTACACAACTATGATATCATCTCTATAGTCTTCTTCTTCTATGGCATCATCCTCAAAGTCGTCTTTTCCCACGGCATCATTACAGTCTTCTATATCATTCTCACAATCTTTTCTCACATCTTGTTCTCTAATACCAAGCTCAAATCATGTACGTCCCTATACCACTTTAAGATCTGAAGTCAAAAATCTCAATACAAAAGTTAAAGAATTGGAGGCTAAGTTGAAAACAGCTAAAGAAGAATTGGAAATCTTTAAAAATCCTGGAACAACATCTTTATGAACAATTCTTAAATACCCTTTGCCTCGTTCAAAACCAGTCGAAGAAGAATCAGAGATCGGTGCCAAAAATCAACTTGAATCACAGATACCTAAAAAAAAAAAAGCAAAAGACTATGCCCTTTTCTCAACTGCTTACCAGTAAAATGTCGTTAAAGTTGTTAAAAGACGCAAAGAAAGATGCTAAAAAAAAGGCTAATGAGATAAAATGTAAGAAAGAAATTGCGGCTCAGAAACGAATAGAACGGGAGGCTAAAAAAGAACAAGCAGAAAAAGCAAAAAAAGAAAAACAACAATTAATCTAAGAAAAAAAAAAAAAAAAAGTCATTTAGATAATTAAATTTTACTTATCTAGATTTGTGTGTCAATTTTAGTCCACTGCCCGAAGATTACAAGTTTTATTAAAAATTTTTATTTATTATAAAATATTTTTTTTTATATAAAATTTTTAAAAAAAAATAAAAAAAATAAAAATTTAAAACCTTTAGAATAAATATTTATTAAAATTTTATGATTTGTAAGTTAATTTTATAAAGTTATCTTATAGAAGAAGTTAACTATGTCATAATACCCTCTTTTACTTTATATTTAAAAATAAAGATTATATTATAGTAGTATTTAATTTTATATTATAAAAAAAAAAGTTTAGATTACTTATAAGCTAAAAACAAATAAATTTAAAAAAAATTTTAACTAAAAAAATTATTTACAAATTCTTGTCAAACTCTTTAAATATTAGTTTTAAATCTATAGTTTTTAATACAATATTGTAGTTTATATAAAAAATAACAACTTTCATTATTATATCTTTGTTAATTTACTAATAAAAATTAAAACTTGTATTAGAAGCAACAATTTTTTTTAAAGGTAAAAACATATAAAAATTTAAAAAATTTAAAGAAAAATTTTATAGTAAAAATTTTTAAAACAAGAGCTTTAAATTTTTATTACTCTAAAGATTTCTAG